GGGGGCTTGGGGCGGACGCGGCGCTGCGGTGGGTTTGCGTACGCGGTGGTGAGGCCCTGCCCTCTGTGCGCATCCTGCCTGCAGCCGGGCTCGGAAGGAGCCGTGGCGCGTTGTGGTGGTGACGTTCCTCAGCACTGCTCCATTGAAACCCGTTAAAAATCACACTGACAGGAGGACCCCTGCAAGTAGCTCAAGAGATTTATGTAGAACTAGAAATGGAGGTGTCTGTTCCTGCCCTGGTTTTCCAGCTCAGAGCTGTGCAAGGGTCGCCGCACAGTGAAGGCTGTGCCCTGTTCGGTGGAAATGGGGTGCTCAGGGATTTGGGGGGGGGCTGGGCTAAATTTGAGGCGTTTTCAGGCTCAGACTGTAAGATGCTGAGCCTCAGTGCGACTGATTAGTTCCATTTGTCCCCAGGATTGTCTCAAAGCTTGGAATACATCTACTAATTTTATATACAAATACTATTTTGCGTTACTAAGTTCCTCTTACTAGAAAAGCGAAAAAGAAATCAGTTAACAGAAATGCATGAAGATAAGGGGAAAAGATCTAGAAATAACCTGAACTAGACAATGTCTCAAGCCTGCTTCTCTACTGCGAATGAATTTAACTCTGTAACTCAGCTTGCTTCAGCTGAGGTTATTTCTGCTTAACACAGATATGAATGAAAGATCAAAGGCCTCATTGTGCACAACCCTGTGTTTTTCTGGCCTCGCTCCCATTTTTGCGGAGAGAAAATATTTCAGCTATCCTTAGTGCCTTAAGGATAAGTAGTTTCCATGGTAATTAAGGTTTGGGGGATTTAGTTGAGAGTATATTAAACAAGGACATTCTGTAACTTTGTCTCACTGGCCAATGCAAATATCAGAGATTGCAAGGGTATCTCTAAAAGTCATTAGCAGAGATTTTGATCGCTGCTGTTAGCAGAGCTAATAGGGAATTCCAGGTTATTTGTAGCTTCAGTTTGCAATGGTGTTTCTGTTGGAATCATTGCAAACTGATGCGCAGCACAATTGCTCACTGAGTGCTTATTTGTGGAAAAAACACATTAACTTTCTCCCTCCTAGCAAGAGGGGAGACAACCTCCTAATATTATTCAAAGGCTCTTCTTCCAGGGACTCACAGCAACAAAATAATGATACACAGTAGTCCAAAAACTTCCTAGGGCTGGGGAGGGGCATTACAAAGACACCAGAAACACATTGTGGACTTAGTGAAAAGAAGATCCCTAACAAGGTACAATTATAACTTCAATAGAAGGCCCAGCTAATAAATTCATGCATGGTATTAGCTTAATTTCTTCATAGAGAAGGTTCCAGAGTCCTTTGCTTATTTTAGCTATGAGCTCTGTTCTGTGTGAGTAACATTTTAACCAGGATGTTTTTGGTTTTTTGTGGGTTTTTTTACAACTAATGTAGCGTTGGCAAGAAACCACCTTTTGGAAGAAGCTGCTTTGTTAAAAAAAGAAAAAATAAAACCCAAACAGAAAACAACAGTGGCTTTGATTTGTGTAAAACAAGTAAGTTCTGCAGCGGAAAGTGATGAATGTAGACATTTATTTTGTGTCAGCACTAAGGAAGTTTGGAGGAAACCTTTCTGTAAATTGCCACTGACCCAGCTGCAGTAGTGGAAGCACCATTTTGAGTCATATTGGTAGAGGACTGGAGTTTTTTTGCTGTTCTGTCATTTTAAACAATTGAAAAATATCTTGGGATTAAGTTGAAAGGGCAAAAATTCAGCTGAGGAAAGGGAATCAAGTTAGAAAATATTTATGGAAGGAGACAGCAAAAGAGGTTAAGGTGCTTCTGGAGTCAAGGATTAGAGAACTGTTTTGAGGTTTTTTGTTTTTTGGTTTTTTTTTAGATAAATAACCAACATTTTGCTATTTTCCTGTTTTGTTTTTCTTAATTTAGAAACAAGGAATCATATAAGGGTTTGGGTTGGAAGGGACCGTTAAAGGTCATTAGTGATCTAAAGCTCAATAAGTCACCTAGCTCAGCCCCCCAGCAGTGAGCGGGGACATCTGCAACCCCATCAGGCTGCTCAGAGCCCCGTCCAACCTGGCCTTGAATGTTTCCAGGGACGGGGCATCGACCACCTCTCTGGGCAACCTGTGCCAGTGTTTCACCACCCTCATTGTACAAGATTTCTTCCTTATATCCAGCCTAAATCTACCCTCTCTTCATTCAAAACCATTCCCTCTCGTCCTGTTGCAACAGGCCCTGCTAAAAAAGTTTGTCCCCATCTCTCTTGTAGGCCCCGTTTAAGTACTGGAAGGCTGCTGTAAGCTCTCCCCAGAGCCTTCTCTTCTCCAGGCTGAACAGCCCGAACTCTCTCAGCCTTTCCTCACAGCAGAGGTGTTCCAGGTCTCAGATCATTCTTGTGGCCTCCTCTGGCCCCACTCCAACAGGTCCATGCCTTTCCTGTGCTGAGGGCTCCAGAGCTGGATGCAGGACTCCCACCTGAAGGTAGAGAGGACGTACTATTTGTCTTCAAGCTTCATTACACTGAACAAAATGCCCCAGTGCTCCAAACTGAACAAACCATTGTCTGTTGGAAGAGAGATATGCCTTACAGGCTTCGTTCTTTCTTCCTACAGAATAGTGGTTTTCACTTGAAAAATAGAACAAAAACCTGTTGCCAGGATTCTTGGCCTGTTAGCAGAGTAGAGGACAAGGGAGAAGTGACTGATTTTGCTCTAGGACCAAATCCCCCAAGCAGTGCAGTTGGAAACAGTATTGTCATGGATCTAGAACTGGTGAGGAGAGGGGAAATAAAGGAACATGAGGTCACAACGAAACACAAGTAAGAAGTGAGTTGTCTCAAGGTTCCGTCAAGGGCTGGCTTTCCTGAGGTCCACAGTTATGGCCCTCAAAACCTTCTGCAGGATCCCTAGGCCCTCTGAGCTTTCTGTTGGTGGTGGAGAATACATTGGAACTGTTGAAGTCAGTGCTATGTACTGGTAGCCAAGCTAAGTTGGAGAGGCTTGTGCATTGAAACAGCAGAACGCAATGCGGAGCGGCAGTGTGAGCTGGAGCCCTGCAGTACGGCTGTGTGCCCTTGCGGCAGCACCCTTTGTTCAGCTGCCCAGGAGGGCTGGCTGGCGGGAGTGGACTGCTGGAGTAAGACAAGTAAACTCTTCTTATTCTTGCCTTCATCTAGTGCTCCCATCCCTTCATGGTGCTGTGTGGATGATGAAGTTGTACCCCAAAGGTCTGGGTTTTGTTATGCCTGTGAGCACCTCAGCCTTGACACTGCAGAGCAGTTAGTACAGCTTCGATCGCGTCCAAGCCTTCCCAGGCCCCTCGAGAGAGATGTTCTTTGCACTCTTGCTTGCAGCCTCTCTCCAACAGGCATTCTCAGGGGCTCCCTAACAGTGCTGACTGCATAGCAAGGTTAGTGATGGTAGCTTTCCTCAGCTGGTAGTTCAAAAGTTATAATATTCACATTTGATACAGAAGACAGGAGTTTCCACCATCAGGAGACTAGCATCTTTCCTTTCAATGGAACAATCAAACCACAAGCTTGCAAGTTTTTCAGAGGTGAGAACTGTCTGCATTCTTCCAAATGGAGCTGTTGTTGCATGCAGGATAAGATACAAAAAATGCTGGACCAGCTAGCTACTGGCTGGGGCACTCTCTGCCTGAAAGGAAGGAGTATTGAGTTCCTGGCCAGGTCTCAATATTCTCCCTGTAGTTTGCGTTAAGAAGTTACACAGCAAAGCAGAAACAAGCTGGCGAGAATGGGTTGTAACCAGGTTCAGTCTCTAGGTGTGTGCCCTCATCACTGGACTGAAGAGTCTGGTTCCTTTTATGCTCCTGGCCTGGTGCTCTGTTGGGCTGTTTGCACAGTGAAGAAAGGGCAATGTGGTCTCACCAGGGTGGAATGTTCAGAGGGTGGTGCGAGATGCTCCATGTGACAGTGAAATCTGTGTATGAGCCCACGTCACTTTAACTGAGGAAGGAGTTGAACATGGCCCACCACAGTATGCTGTCATATGAAAAATGCACCACCCCTTTTTAAGGTAAAGTTTGCTTTGCATTTTGTAGAGAGCCTAGGCCTGTGATG